GTGGCGCAGCGGGTTAAAGCACAGCACTGAGAATCTAAGGCCGCTTCCGCACGAGTTCGATTCCCGCCTGCCCCGGAGGTGACCACATGGTGTGGCAGACCTCTCCTGGCCCGCCCGCTGCTCCCCTCAGCAGTGTACTTCGTCCATCTGCCTGTTCTGTTCCCCACTCTGTCTCTGGTGAAGCCTCTCACTGCCCCTGCATCTCTGGCCTGTACCCCTGTTCTGTATGCACAAATAAATAAATAAATATTTAAAAAAAAAAAAAAACTCTACATCTCTAATTTTCTTGTCATGTAAAAAGTTAGATAGTCCAGAAGAGTGCCTGAGATGGAAACTTGGATAAAGTCTACATTTAAGCAATGGACACAGTAGGAGAACTATTAGACTGAGAACAAATGAAAGAAATTAGGAAAAATGGCCTTCCCTGGTGGTGCAATGGGTTAGGAGGCAGCACTGCAAGCTCACAGCAGCTGCTTCAGTGTGAGTTTGATCTCCAGCCCTGGCAGGTGATCCACATAGTGTGGCAGGCCTCTCCTGTCTTGCCTGCTGCTCCCCTCAGTACTGTACTACATTAATCTGCCTATTCTGCTCCCCACTTTGTCTCTGATCAATCCTCTCACTCCCCCCCCCCGCACCTCTGGCCTGTACCCCAGTTCTATATGCAGAAATAAAGCTTAAAAAAAAAAAGAGAGAGAGAGAAAACAAGAGAATGGACTGAATAGAGACCAACAAAGGAGTTCACTAAGGAACTATGAAAATGCCAAGTGTGATAAAAACATCAAGTATGGTAAGGTGTTAAAAGATCCCTTCCATGAAAAAAAAAATGATGGGAATGTAAAAGAAATCATAGAAAACAGGTAAACAGGAGAGGAGGAAATGGAAACGAAAATAGAGAAAATTCAAGCTTAGATAGGAAAAAACAATAACACGATGCTAAAGGCAGAGGTAGATATGCCACTGAGGTAAAAATCTGAGCATCCTGCGCATATTTAAATATTGATGGAAATGTTCTTAGGGGTGGGTTCCAAATGACTGAACCCGAGAACCACCTAAAGAGCATCTAAAAATTCCAGTGCCTCTCTATGGGGGGCAGAGAATAGCATCACTAGTTTCATAAAGCTCTCAGGTAATTCCAATATGTAGCCAGTTTGAGAACCACTGTGCTACTCTGGTGCTTTCCATAGTTCAGTGACAATCCAAATTACATTCACCCTGTATTTTTTTAATATATATATATATACACACACACACATATAAGAACTGGAGTATAGGCCAGAAGTTCAGGGGGTAAGAGGATTTATCAGAGACAGAGTGGGGAGCAGAGCAGCAGATTGACCGAAAAACACTGCTGAGATGAGCAGCAGGCCACACAGGAGGAGTCTGCTGCATTTTGTGTCTCAGCTCCTCAGCCAGATATCATACTCATGCCACAGTAGCTGCGGATAGCTTGATAGTACTGATGCCTTAACTCCTACACCACCAGGGAGGCCCCTACCTTGACACATTGTCAAAATACAGATTGATTGGCTCCACCCACAGAATTTAAGATGTAGTAGGGCTCCCTAAAGAGGTCTCATGGATTTTGTCTTTTTAAGAAGCCACAACATTTTGTTAATGTTGCTGATTTAAATATCATAGCGAGTAATGCTCTATTCTAGAAGGTGTGATTGAAAAGAGATTATTGATTGGGAAGGAAAAAAGTAACTAGTGTCCTGCATTTATTTCTATTTTTGGATGGGAGGAAAGGCAAGTACCTTTTTGTAGCACCTGCAGGACACAACAGGTCCTCTATGATCCAGGCAGATGGGTAAAGGAGAGTCCTGGAGCCCTCAGTGGCTTTTCTAGCTCATAATGATCTTTCTACACCATTTGCAGGGAGGCAACCAGGTGCAGGTTAGGCAGGGGTCCGGGAGCCTCTTAATCCCCTCTCTTCCCCCCCTGAATCTTTACTCTTTCTGGGCTCTCTGGTGTTCACTCCCTGGTCTCCACTGTACACTCCTATGCTGCTGCCATCCTCTGTGACTTCGCCAAATGCTCTGTTTCCCGGCTCAGGTGCTGTGCCCACGAGCACACCACACTCCATGCGCGGCCATCAACATGGTGTAAGACTGCAGGCATCTATCATAGAGGCTAAGGCAGGAGGGTGGGGATACCTGGTCACTTCCCTTTACATTGTTCATTCCTGGCAAAGAAGGTTACAAAAGTGTGTGTGTGTGTGTGTGTGTGTGTGTGTGTGTGTGTGTGAATTCAAGTAAACTTTTGGTGGATTGGCCGGAAGTTAAGGGAGGTCTGTTTTAATCACTTCAAGAATTTAGTCTAGAACTGGTAGTCTAGAATGGTCATATATGTCTGAGAGACAATAACTAATGTGGCAGTAAAGTTAAATTCCAGAACGTAATATTCAGGTTACTTTTATGTAAATAACCAGGATATATTAGACCAAAAACTATGTGTGGCTATAACCATATTGATTCTAACATTTTTTCTCACCACAATCTAAGAAAGCAGCATTGTGCTGTGTTCTCGCTATCTGCTTAATAGCAGAGATGTTTCGAAGTTCTAGTAGAAGTTCTTATGAGCTGATAAATTTGTTATTACTTTATTAAATTATGTATTCTCTAGAATTTATCTGACGATTCCAACCTTGATATATGAAGATGGGGTGGTTTGGATGATTCCAATAAACTTCCAAAATGATTAATAAACCTCCATGGTTTGCTCGATTTGATCCCTTCATGGTATTCTAGCTGAAATGTTTCTATTCGTTCTGCTACTAAACTTTACAACAGGTATTCTTCATTGGTGATAGCAATAGTTTCACCTGGGAACTTATTAGAACTACAAACTGTCAGGGCATATATGAGACTTACTGGATCAGACATTCTGGATGATGTGCAGCTATCTGTGCCTTAATAATCCCTCCACATGATTTTAGCATGCTAAAGTTTGAGGACCAGTATTTCCATCAGAAATTCATAGCAAGGATTACTGAAGTTTTCCCCAAATGTCAGAATCAGAAAGAAATAGGGTTTCTTATTTACGTAGATATATGATGAAAACAAATGGGTAATATAATTTTATGCATAGTAACACCTTATTTTGAATTTTTAAATTTCCAATTAGAACATTCTAACTTTCTCTTGAATTGGTTCTGTAATGCAATTGAAAATCTCATTTGTTCATGTATCCACATGAATTTTGGAGGCATATGAAACTTGCACATATTTACATAGTCAAAGACAAAAAAAATGAGGCACTCAAAGTTAATACTGTTTCTTAGCAATTTCACATTCAGAAAACAAAACAACAGCATCAACAAAACTTACTCCAGTTCATGGAATGAAGATAGCTTCAATAACTTATAGTGATAAAATTCTTTTTAGAATATTGATAAGAACTTAACCCAAATTCCCTCTAACTTAATAACTCCATCCTAGGTAGTAACAGGACCACACTTTTCTCCAAGTTATTTCTTCTAATGTCTCCACATCACAACAGAATTGTCTCTATAATCCTTACATCATTTGAAAAGTCAATTTAGGCCCTCCCTGGTGGCACAGTGGTTAAAGCACAGCGCTGCAAGTGAGCCGCAGCCACTGCTTCAGGGCTAGTTTGATCCCCAGCCCCCCCCTCACCGAAACCCCTAGGTGATCCACATAGTGTGGCAGACCTCTCTTGCTGTGCTCACTGCTCCCCTCAGCAGTGTACTTCATTAATCTGCCTGTTCTGCTCCCCACTCTGTCTCTGGTGAATCCTCTTACCACCCCCACATCTCTGACCTGACCCCACTTCTGTGTGCTAAAATAAATATTAAAAAAAAAGAAACATCAATTTATCCCTGTTAGTCCTCCAACTATATATTGTTCTCTCCTTCTTATGCTCTTGCTCCCATGTTTCCATCTCCATTGTGTATCAAATCATCTGAGGAAAAATTATTGTGTGAATATCAATGTTCATAACAATGACATATCAAAACTTCCAATCCTATAACCTAATAACCTCTTAAAGATCCTACCAGAAAATACCCAAGTAATAGGTTTCCATATATGATTTGGTATGTGGTGGGGGGTAGACACAAACATTCAGTATATATGAAACACAAGTCAAGAAATATCTGCTATTTAAAAAAAAATCCGCTATGAAAAAAAAATAACACTGTGTTTCATAGCTTTCGCTGTCAAAAAAAAAAGATTTCTTTCAATATCCGTTATTGCAGGTTTAGTGATGCAACTTGTCTTGACCATTGGGACAAACTGTTAGGAAGGAAGCAGAGGCTTGAAAGTGCTAATGTATAAGGAGATGTTCTCTGACTGCTCTTGGAAACCAGTCATCACATGTTGAAGTGGTCTGGCCTTGAGTAAGTGGAAAAAGAGAATCTTGTCCTGAGAAGAAGAGTAATGTGACCATGTCCAGTGGAGTGAACTAAATCTGATGTAAAGCAAGCCGTACAGTTTGAAAGAGAGCTTATCAGTACAGATTAAAAGGACTAAGTCAGTTTAAAATGGACTGAGACTGTTAAAGTGGAGACTTCTGTTTTTTTTTTTTTTGTATTTAGGAAGAGAGATGAATAAAGTGCTCAGCTAAAAACACATTCTATCTAAAGAATGAAAAATGCCCCAGAGGGCATAGCCAAAATCCCATAAGAAACAGTAGGCAGGAGAGTCACTATTCTAGCATATTTTCTGTTGCAGAGTCAGGGGAACTGGCAACATACATGGATTTCAGTTATAAAGTTGCTATTGATTCTGTGACCACTTTGTGATTTCCAGTGTTCATTATGGTTATTTTAGCCCTGGTTCACGATTGAATTTCGAATGTGTCTTTTCAGTTTAATTCTCTGAATGAAGAGGTACTGCTTCATATATCTTTGCTTGCACTCAAAAAGATGCAAACTCTTTGACATGGACTTCACTTATACTAGATGCCATAACTGGAAAAGACTTCTGTGTTGGAGGCCAGCTCCAACTACTGAGGTGTCTGGAGGCAAGACAGACAGGACCCTAAGGTGGAAAGGCGTCGGCAAGCAGAGATTGCTAAAAAGGGGAGAAGGAGAAAAAGGGAAAAGGGGGGCGAAGAAGACACAGGAGTCAGAGTTTGGTGCAAGTCTTCCTGCTCTGCCTTCAGCAGAGGTTTATTTTATACATTAGGAGCAAGCAGTGGGATGACATCAGCACACGAACTGGGCTGAGAGATTACAATCATCTTTTTTTTCTAGGAGCAAGGAGTGGGATGACATCAGCACATGAACTGGGCTGAGAGATTACAAGATTACAATCATCTTTTTTTTCTAAGAACAGTTTAGGGTTGTATTGCCCTTTAGCTGAGATATAACATTCTAAAATCAATCAAGGTTAAAAACAGGTACAAAGGTGCACAAAGTTTATGACTAATATTACTATAGTGGAGATCAACTAAGATAGAAATCCCATAAACATTATCTACTACTTAATGGGTTTTTGTTTTTCTACTTGAGTCATCCTGGGAGGCAGAAGAGGAAATTCCTTGCTAATCAAATCTCTGAATAGGAGACATAGGTGAATTTCCTTATCTGAGGACTACATAGTAGAATCCTGAAAGACTAGCCAGAAGACTTTTGTGGATTCCTTTAAGGTGTAGCAGGTGGAAAACTTGACTAGTTTCAAAACAGGCAACCTGGGTGAATTTCCACATCTAAAGGCCAGACAGTAGGAAGTTTGAGTAATTCTGTAGAAGCTGAATAGAAGGCTAGGTGAGATAGTAGGTGAGATAGTAGAGTGATAAGATTTGGGTTTTCCTCCATCTGGCAGTGAGAGAGACTTTGCAAAATCAGCCCTTTTGTTTTTATTTATCAGTCAGTAGTCAAGTCACTTGACTTCAGGGGAATTTTTCATCCTGGTGCAGTGCTTTCTTGTCAGGACAGACAGGCCTTATGTGGCTGAGGCAATCCAATTGTAAGCTGAAAGTTGCTCAGAATATTTTGATATTATGATTATACAAAAAAGGGAAGTCATAACATAAGTTAGCAGTGGAAAGTCTGATTTTTCAGAGCTTTTCCCCTCTATCCGGATTGTGTCTGATGACAGAGGTTGCATAGATTGTGTCACTTCTGGGAGTCCTGAGAAGGATGGGTATATTTTGCATGGGGAGTATTAAATAATTATGACAAGAGGATGGGAAATGGTAGATTGGGGAAATAAAAAAAAATAATAAGTCACAGTATATGGTACCATTTCCAATAAGAAAATTGAGACTTTTTTTTTTTTTAAACTTTTCAACTTTTCAAATCTGGTTCTGGCTATTGACTTGCTTTGTTCAGTGGGACATTGGTATAATATAATTGAAGTAGAGGCTTGAAGTGAGATTGAACATTTGAGCATTTGAGTTTGTGCTTTCTGATTTGTTACATAATTATCACTTATAAAAGCTTGGTGATGGATGCTATGTGGTCTGTTGCCACCATAATCCCAAACAACAGTCAGAAACATGAATTTGTCATCTGGGTAGATATAGTCCCAGCCAATCTGTTAATGGAATGCACATGCATGAATGAGTTAGTGCTTGATCTGGAGAATGATACAGAAGAACTCTGAGCTAAGTAAAATGATCATTTCAAGTTCCAAAATATTGTTTTGATATATTGTACTGCATACTTTTAGTAAAGTATGCAAACAAAATTTCTAGGCTTTTTTATAAAACCATTAATTTACCATTTGTCTACAAAACTGTTTAACTCTGAGGGTGGAAACTTCATACCCCAATGTGTGTGTATGTTCTATTCAACTATCACCAAGTGTTATCACACTATCAGATTCATTCAGGCTACCCAATAAAGCATTCCCCATGCCCTACTGCAAGTAATTTTAGTGAAATAAAATTTTATTTAGTGAAAGCTGTTGAATTTTGCTGAGGATTATAAAACATAATGCCGATATTATCTCTGTCATATTCTTTTAAGCTGACTTTCAAGGCCATAGTTCAAAATACATGTAGCCCTAGAATGGAAAAAAAAAAAAAAAAAGATTAGCTTAATAATAATAGGTCTACGTTAGGTCTTAGACCTGAGAACAAATTTGGAGTCGATTATTAAATATTAAAATAATTCTAAGGACCAGACTATGAGGAACCAACTTTTAAAGACATAAGAATGACTACATCAAAATAATACATTGAAATATAAATATACTTAGAGAACCACGATTAATTCTACTGTGTTTTATTTCTCTCTATATGTTTCATTCAAAAAGAAGGGAAAAAGCTACATTTTCAGTTTTCCCCAGATGTACTATTAATAATTTGGTTCAATTTTTCCACATACACACAATTAATACTATCATATACCTTTTTTCCTAATTTTATTCACTACATAATGTATCCACTTGTATGATAGATGCTACTCTTGTCATTAAAGTTCTCTGAAAACATTTGAGTTTTTCACATCTTTTTCCCACTTTTGTTCATACATTTTTACATCATTGTTCACTTTTGTTCAGTGTTTGATTTCTCCTCTCTGGTGTTCCCATAAAATTATCACTACCACCACACCCGTGAACCATCACTGTAGACTCTTGTGCTATTTCCTCCTGTTTTGGTAATTCACCCCCACGCCCCATCCTGCTAATTGTCTGATTTCTAGTTGCCTGTGAATTTTGTTTTTACTTTTTGTTTCCTCATTTCTTGTTAGTTTACCTATGTTTGTCCTAAGTGAAATCATCCAATATTTCCCTTCTGACTTAATTCACAGATCATAATCATTTCCAGCTCTATTCATGTTGCTGTGAATGGCATTTGAAAGTTCTTTTCCATTTAAAAGATCAGGTGTGAGAACTGTTTATTTTTGTCTGGTCAATAATTCAGCATCTTCTTCTTTTGGGTTCTAGTTTTTACCTAAGATTTTATGGATGAATAGTTAACTTATTACTTTTTTTGCTTTTCATATAATTTTATGTATTTATTTATGTATGTAAGAACTGGGGTGCAGGCCAGAGGTGGGGGGGTTGAGATGATTCACCAGAGACAGAGTGGGGGAGCAGAACAGGCAGATCAATTGAAATACAGTGCTGAGCGTGAGACAGGAGAGGTTTGCTGCTTTATGTGGGTCAGTTCCCTGGTGGGAGATCTGCCAGTCAATAGTGTTGAGACTTAACCCCTTTGTCACCATGGAAGCCCCTGATTTTCATCTTTTTGTAATTTAGCATTTACTTATAATTAGACTTTCCTTTCTCTCTCTCTTTCTTCCCTAAGATTTATTTATTTATCTGTACCAACTTCGAATTCAGTTGCCCAGTCACTCCTTAACATCTCTGGTGAGGTTCATGTTGGTCTCTAATGTTCAAAAAAATACCCAATTCATCTTAAGTCACAGGATTTTCTAGGTGTAGTGTGGTGTGGTTTAAATCTGATACTATTTTCCACTAGTAAACCAAGACTCATCTGTGATGCTACCTATGATTTTCATATTTAATTTAACAATTTCTTTCTTCTTTTTTTTTTAACTTTCAAGTTGTGGCCATTTATATTTATTGCAGTTATTGCAAGAAAGAAAAACTATATACAATATTCTAATTGACATTTTGATATAACTGAATAGGTAGATATTCTATAACTTAAAAATGGTTTATTTGTTCCTTTTTTAATACTTTTTTTATTCTAATTTCATTTTTTTCAACAGATGCTTTTGTTCATTTGCTTGCTAGTCTTCGAATCCCACTTTTCTCTATTAGTTTGAAATTTATATAAATTTATAATTGTTTAAGTGGTTATTCACAAAAATTTTATATGCAATATTTTATCTATGCAATACAAATAATTTAGTATATTTTAATTTAAACCACTTTCATATTTTTGTTGGCAAATACTTTAGTTTTTGTTTTTCCTTTAAACCTCACACATTGCATGTTTATATTACATTTTAAAAGCATAATTATGTTTGCAAATGTGTTTAGCATTTATTTATTCATGAGTAAGCATTAAGAAGTCAGATGTCAGTCTCATTGCTGTGGATGATCAGCTTTTTCTTTCTTGTTTCTAATTTTTTTTCCTTCTCTGCTTTCCCACTATGTTTTATAGATGCTGTTAATTAAAATACTTGTAATATATTATCTTTATCACTTTATTTATACTTTCTGGATCTGGAAAATTTTTAGCACATTTTTATTCTCTACTGTATGCTATCTGGAACTATGTATTTCCATATTTCTATCCTTACTTAGCCTTATGAAAAATATGAGGCTGAAATTCTACTCTTCAGTATATACCTAAAGAATAAAAAAAAAATTCTAGTTCAAAAGAATATATGAACTTCTATGTCCATTGCAACATTATTTATAATAGCTAATTTATAAGATCATACTAAATCCCCAAAGTTAAATGAGTGGATAAGGAAAATGTGGTATATATACACAATGAAATGCTACTGAACTACAGTTTAAAAAGATGAACTTCTACCTTTTGTAATGACATGGGTAGACTGAAGGAATAATACTAAGTGAAGTAAGTCAGAGGGAGAAAGACAAATACCGGATGGTTTTACTTATATGTAGAATGTATATAGAAAAAAAAAAAAAGAACTAAAAAGCAAATCATTAACAAACCCTAGAAGTCTTACTGTAAAATCGAGTCAACCAAAAGAAGAGGCAGAGAGTGGATAACAAGGTATATAAAAGGGACTCAATGGCAGATAACTAATAGTGTCTTGGTGTTGGATATGATTTGGTAACATACATATAAGGAGGTGTGATCACATATCTCTGAATCATACATGGTATTATAAGCCACTTTTATCTCAATGAAACTATTTCCTTACTATATATCTCAGTTCATTATTTTTAATTATGACCAATTTGCCCTTTAACTTGATTTTTGTCTTACTTTTAAAAACTTTATACCACTTAAAAGGCCAAAGAGGACTCAACCTTGCCATTTTCTGTCATTTTATATCTGGAGAACAAAGACAATTTTGTTTCTAAAACTTTAACTAAAACGTTAACTGGTGCCACAACAGGTTAAGACCCAGCACTGCAAGCTAGTTGCAGCTGCCTCAGTGCAAGTTCAATCCCTGGCCCACAGAAGTGATCCGGTGATCGTCATGGCATGGCAGACTTCTGACCTAACCACTGCTCCCCTCAGCAGTGTACCTCATTGATCTGCCTGTTCTGCTCCCCCATCTGTCTCTGGTGAAACCTCTCATGGCCCCTGCATCACTGGCTTGTTCCCCAATTCTGTATGCATAAATAAATTAATCTTAAAAATTCAAAAAATGAGTGACATTTGACTTAAAAAAATTCTGCATATCTATAGTTTTCAAATTAACAGTACTTTATATTTAAAATTAACTCACAACATGGTGGCTATTATAATAATAAAATTAATTGTGGGAAATAAGCCACCTTGAGAGCCACTTTATTCATATTTTTAGCAACTTAGTCTTGCTTTTTACAAAGGGGAAAATTTTCAACTTCAGTGATTATATTTCCAGGACACTTGAGTTTTTACTTCCCTTGCAAGGTAAATATTGAATCCATGATCTAATGTGGACTGTAAGGATAAGACCAAAATGGGGGGAAAATATTTGAGGAGAAATGATAACAAAGGTGACAATCTCAGAAAATTAAATTTTTAGCTAAATATAATAAAGCTAAACTCACAATGAGGAAACTTGCTCCAAGCATTAATGCTTTTATCTTAACATCAAGATCAAATGGAAACTGGATCCCAAATTTATCAGAACTTGAAATATTTCCAATAACTCTTTCTTCATCTATAGACAATAACTAAAAGTAAAAATATATATATATATATATAATTGTAGATACAATTCTCTGAAATAAAGAGAATGGGCACTTATAGGTTAGTTTTCATAATTTAGTCATATGAGTTACAGAACTGGTTATACTCTGAAATAAAAAGGGACCAGAAAAAAAAATGAAGAATGTCTACCTAAGAGGATATTTTCAAATTTTGTACACAATGATTACATATGTAATATAAAATGTTCTGTATAGACTCTATAACATTAATTTATTAGCTCTTTTACAGTTATAATAATATACATCATATAAGATTTGTGAGAACTTTTAAGTTCTTTTACACAGTTCACTTTCAGATAACAGCTTTATTTTCTGAATCCTTGACCTTTTCCTAATATCCTTTTCTGCTTTACTTATCTAGACTCAATGGAACATCGTACATAGTAATATTCACTTCTTTTGTGAGATACTCACATTGAAACAGTATGTCTGGGATAAACCCTATCACTTGCCTTGAGATGAGGGCCATAAGAGAAAAGGTAGAGTGATATGATGGAGTACATAAAACAAGCAAAGGGAAGACTGAAATAATTGGGTGGGGTGGTTTTAAACATAGCTTCTCAAGGTCACAATCATTTAAGCTGTCTTGGAGGACCAGCAGGAATTAGTGACAACAGAAATAGGGAATGCAAGAACATTTCAAATTGCCTGATTTGGGAGCATATTTTGAACAAAGTGACTGAAGTGGCTAGTGACATAAAATGAGTGAGCAAATAGAGGTATGTAATGCTAGATCACACAGAGCTTGATAAATACTGTTAAGGAGTTTGGGTAAAGAGAAAAATGTGAATTTTAAGTAACTATGTCAAAATTTTTTCGCTTTTTTTTCATGAGTTTGAATAATGCCATTCCCCCTCATTCTTAACAAAACATCATGGCACTGCAGAAAAATTAATTAATTAAATAAATAAATAGAACCTCCTAGACTAAGCTTTTAGATTCCATTCCTGAGGAGTTACTATACCCACACTGACACTCCTTATTCCTTCCTTGTTATGATAAATGGCCCACCTCTATGTCTGAGTCTAGTTCCCTACATATATCTTAGGTCTATACCAATTAAAAGATAAGTTAATCAAATGTTCAACTTCTTTATCACCACTCTTCTACTTTTATTCCTTTCTTTTAAAATCAAAGTAGATCTTAAAAATTCTTTACCCAAGAAAACAATCTGCAGCTATGATTGTTGACAGATGTTAACAAAATTTATTGCATTGATCATTATGCAATATGTACAAATATTTGAACATTATTTCATACACTTGAGACAATGTAATGTTGTATGACAATTATCCTGCTCTCTTTCTCATAGATATATGTGTGTATACATACATGTATATATATACATATATACGCATATATATGTGTATATATACACATATATGCATATAATATATGTATATGCTATAAATATATATGTATATAATATATTTATATACATATATATTTATATACATATATATATATAGCTTGCACAAATATATAATCTTTGAAAGATGCTATGAACTTGTAGGTCTCAAGTAAGCAAATAATTAGGAATTCAACTAAAAATGTTATTGAAACATCATGACAACATTTTTATTTTCTTTCGTCAAATTTATTAATTATATATTAGGAAATAATGAAACATTAATTTGAACATGATATATTTAAATTATAATGACTTACATTAAAATTTAGATCCTTGAGGCAGCTAGAAATTACACATGGCCCTCTTATTTCCATTACATCCTCCTTTTTCTCATTTTTTATTTTAAACTTTGGCCAAAATGGGTGAAAACACTGATACACATATCCAATTGTTTCACCAGGAGGAGCCTCAATTTTTAGCTATAAAAGATTGAAAAATGCATAGAGATCAAATGTGATACATCTGATTTGCAAGTAACATTGCATTTAGTCATATGCTACCTTTTAACTTTTTGTATATGTGAATAGAACTTTCTGTGTCTCACGTATGATTTATACTTAGGTATGGATATAAAATGAAAAGTTTCCAGGATCTGCATTTGAAACATTTTAGTGGAGATCTGATTTTGCTGTTCATGAACTACAGAAATTAGGTAGCAGGAGGATATGAAGAGAATATGTCAACAGGAAGAGTTGACAAAACTCAGCTCAGAAGTGAAACTCACAAGATTGAAGACAAAGCCAAGACATGCTACAGAATTTTTTAATAATATTAAAGAAGATAGTAACAGTAGGCATGGCACATATCTAATTAGTGTCTGACAAAGAAAAAATGGTAATAACTCTAATGACAATGAATATATATTACAAGCTACAAGTCAAGAAAATTTCTTAAAATTAAAGAACAAAATTATTTTATCAATTGATACCTGAAGAAAATCACCCTAAATTGATCAATACCGAGTCATGCACTGGAAATTACAAAAATTTAAATAAAATAAAAAAATCACTGGAAATTTAATTAAAAACATGAAATCTTGTCGTGTAATTTATTTTATATCATCAAAAGAACATATTTTTTATTATATTTAGAAAGATAAAAGTAATACTATTCACACACACATACACATACACACACAAAGCTAAAAATAGAATTGTCCTAGGGAAATAAGTCACATTCATCAAAATGAGAACAAAATCAGATTGAACAGACTTTTTGGTCAGTAATCTACAACATATGCTGGAAGAAAATAGGCTAATATGTTAAATATTCAAGGAAAGAAGGTGAAATCCAAAGAACATATCTAATACACATGTCCATTGACATATGCAGATTATAGACAAGCTGTAATGAATCCAACAAGTTCACGGTAATTTGAGTTTATCCTGAGAAACTCACTTAGGAACAAAATGCAGATACCCAAGATGACAGGGTGATCTTTGGTAGTAAATGATGCAAAGAAAATGGACATAGTTTATGTAATTATGATTTGCACTAAGCATATAGAAATATATAGTTGTCTAAAACTCAGGCAGTAAATGAGGAGAGAAATTCTGGCAGAACAGCATAGGGTGATTGCATGTAGTAACAAGATAAAATATAATTGTTAGGTCCTCCCTGGTGGCGCAGCGGGTTAAAGCACAACACTGAGAAGCTAAAGCCACTTCCGCATGAGTTCGATTCCCACCCTGGAGGGTGACCACATGGCGTGGCAGACCTCTCCTGACCCGCCCGCTGCTCCCCTCAGCAGTGTACTTCGTCCATCTGCCTGTTCTGTCCCCCACTCTGTCTCCGCTGAAGCCTCTCATGGCCCCTGAGCCTCTGGTCTGTACCCCAGTTCTGTATCCATAAATAAATAAATCTTTAAAAAAATATATAATTGTTAAAATACTTTGGATAAGTGTAGAATTCTACATTTAAACCTAAATATGAAGGTAAAAACTACATGTGAGCTTACATTAGGGAAAAACCAATGACCTTAGACAAGGTATTTGAATTTCTGAGACTTATTTGAGGACAGAATCCAGTCTGTGCTATATTGGGTACTAAAAACTCAGACACCCGGAGTCCTGCTTGCTGAGAAGTCAGAGAAGAGAAATTGAGGAAACTAGCCAGGTGAAAATCAAAGAGAAAAATCTTAGAGAAAGAGAGTCAAAAAGACTCAATTTGATTGTAAGCATTCTTTATTAACTCTGATTAACTCCTCCTTTTGAGGTACTATTTCAAAAATACAAGATAAGGGCTCTCCCTGGTGGCGCAAGGGGTTAAAGCACCGCATTATGAAGCTCTATGAAGCCTCTACAGCACTAATTGATCCCAGGCCAGGGGGCTGACCCATTTGGTGTGGCAGACCTCTGCTGACCCGCCCGCTGCTCCCCTCAGCAGTGTACCTTGTCAATTTGCCTGTTCTGCTCCCCACTCTGCCTCTGGTGAAGCCTCTCACTCACTACACCTCTGGCCTGTACCCCAGTTCTGTAGGCACAAATAAATAAATCTTTTAAACAAATACAAGAAAAAACTAAAATACTGGACAGAAATTTCAGCCACAGCTATTATAGAGGTGACAACATTTTGAGTTTAAGTCCAGTCAAATAATAAGCAACTAAGTGTCCATAATCACTACATTGAATTGTACATTGTATTCTCATATTCTTTAGAAAAATAAATTATCATATGTAAAGATTAAAATAGGAGCCATATTTAGAAAAAAAAGGAAATAAAGTCTATCTTGGATGACAGACTTGGGAAAAATAATTTATAGCAATGGATAAAATTGTTTTTACGCTTGTGCTTATTATAACTGTAACAAGAGCTAAATACATCACAATAAGTAAATCAAAATACACATAATAGCCAGGTAAACATTTGGAACTGAAAATATATCTAGAAAAAAAAATGCTTAATGGATACTTATAGTAATGTAAAAGTTAGTGCACCTGAAAACAGATAAATGGTATTATATCACTGAATATTTTTAAAACTACAAAAATAGCAGTGATTAAGAGAATAGTTGTAAAATATCAAACAATGTAAAATATCTATAACTAAAGAGAATAGAAAGAAAAACACATTTGAAGAAATACTGCTAAAGATTCCCAAGTTGGTGAAAAAACACATTTACAATATATATATATATATTTTTTTTTTAAAGATTTATTTATTTATTCATACAGAACTGGGATACAGGCCAGAGATGCGGAGGGTGAGAGGGTTCACTAGAGACAGAGCGGGGAGCAGAACAGGCAGATTGACGAAGTACACTGCTGAGGGGAGCAGCGGTTGGGTCAGGAGAGGTCTGCCAGCCATGTGGTCACCTCCGGGGCAGGCGGGGATCGAACTCATGCGGAGGTGGCTTTAGCTTCTTAGTGCTGCGCTTTAACCCGCTGCGCCACCAGGGAGGGCCAATATATATATATATTTTTATGTGTTATCTTTCTTTGGTTTTGATATTACAGTAAGCTGGTATCATAAAATGCAATTAGGAGTACTTATTCTTTCTCAATTTTTTTGGGAAAGGTTGAGAAGGTAGGTAGTAGTTCATCTTTGAAGGGTTCATAAAACTCTCTTGTGAATCTACTTGGTCCTGGGCTTTGTTTTTTTTAGGTAGGGTTTTGATTACTATACCAATTTCCTTACTTGTGGCTGGCCTATTAAGGTCAGCAGTCAAGAGGTGAGCCCCTGCAATTTTTGACAAGGACAGGTAAAAGGGATTATGCTAAGTGGCATAAGACCCAAAGAGAGAGACACACTGTGTGGTGTTACTTTTATGTGTAATATGGGCAAATCAGACAAAAGTTCACATAAAGCCAAACTCAGAAACTAATGCTTGAAAGTTGACTATGGAACTGAAGCATCTAAAGGGGGAAAGGAAAGCAGAGGGGTGAGCATAAAGAAGAGAGGAAGCACAGTGGGTTATCATGGTGGATAATGGGTATTTTGGTGGTGAGTTCATTAGGATAACATCAATAGAAGGGTGAGGCTCTGTACTTCCAAACTATAAACAAAGATGTAAACCAATGTTACTGCAATAGAAATCCTTTTTTAAAGTCTAGTTTTGAAAAATAAAAATAAACAAATAAATAAAGGGGAAAAACACTAACAACTTTTTATAGGATAGGTATCAATTATGACAGTGTACGTAAGAGGAAGTTATTAGATGGTGATCGACTTTTGAATTTATTTTAGGCAATGTGTATTTGAAAAGTGAACCAAACTTTATCAATAAAAAATTACAGCTATATCAAAACAATGGAAATACAGAGATTTGTTTAAAAAAATAATGCATTTATAGATTCAAGAAGCTAGATTAATCCAATAGGAGAAATGCAAATAAAATCACATGCAGCCAGCCATGCATAATACATCTGCTGAGGCACTGCAGTGGAGTGACACTACAGGAGGGAGAGATTCTTTTACTAATTCTAGTTGGTGTGACTTTTCTCCACCTCCTTTTTTTTTTTCTTTCTTCCTGCTGTCTATTTGCTTAGCAGTGCAGTTTTCTGTGGAAACCCAGTAGTGCTCTGCCTAGTAGCACATCACTTTCTATAGTGTAGTACTTCTTCATCCTTGCAGCCATGGCATGGCTCAGTGGCCCTATCTGCTAGCAGTCTTGATATAGTAATCACCTGTTGCAGGTCTCTGTCCCTAAGTGTGCCCACCAGCTATGGCTCAACTGTACCTTCGAGGCTTGTTTTCCACATCTCTCCATTCAAGGAGGTCATGTAGTCCAGGATTCAGATCCACTGATTCAGAGCTTCTCCGCCTCCCTCTGCATGTCTGCCTACTAGCTGTGGCTTATATGTGATACATACACTGTTTTTTCTTTTTAATTCTGCTAGAGGAATATTGCATGTTAGACCTCAGACCACAGTGGAACCCCAACTCATCTATGTACTTATCTATAAACCAGAGTTTCTGTACACTTTTATTTTATATAAAGATTTATTCATTTATGCATACAGAACTGGGGTACAAGTCAGAGGTGCAGGGGCAGTGAGAGGATCACCAGAGAAGAGTGGGGAGCAGAACAGGCAGATTGAGGGAGTATATTGCTGAGGGGAGCAGTGGGCACAGCAAGAGAGGTCTGCCTTACTATGTGGGGATCACCTCCTGGACCGAGATTGGAACCCACACTGCAGCTGCTGCGGCTAGTTTGCAGTTCTGCGTCCTAATCTGTTGCGCCACCAAGGGAGGGCTCTCTTTGCACTTTTTGAGGTTTCTTTCTTTCTTGAAATCGTGGACCAGTTCTGATGTGGGCAACTTTTAAATTCATCATAAAGTTGGCTACAACTACATTTTCTCAAAACAGGTTTGAAATCTGATCCTTGCCTATGTGGAGAACTCTACCTCAGTCCTTGTTACAATAATCATCACAGATATTTTGTATCACAACTTCATATTTCTTATAGGAAACTTTTTT